CAAGACTTAATCATGAAGAAATAGAAAATCTGAACAGACCAAACACAACTGAGGATATTGAATTAGTAATCAAAAACCTCTCAACAAAGCAAAGCCCAAGACCTGATGGCTTTACTGGTGAATTCTACCAAACATATAAAGAATTATTAATACTGATACTTCTCAAACTCTTCCAAAAAATTGAAGAGGAGAGAATCCTCCCAAATCATTTTACAAGGCCAGCATTACCCTGGTACCAATGCTAGACACTACAAGAAAAGAAAATTATGGGCCAATATCCTTAATGATGCAAAAATCCTCAACAAAATACTAGCAAATAGAATTCAACAGCACATTAAAAGAATCATACATCATGAACAAATTGGATTTATCCCGGGATGTAAGGATGGCTCAACACACACAAATCAATAAATGCGATATACCACATTAACTGATGAAGAATAGAAATCATATGATCATCTCAGTGGATGCAGAAAAAGCAATTAAAAGCATTCAATATCCTTTCATGATAAAAACTCTCAATAAATTAAGTATAGAAGGAATGTAACTCAGCATAATACAGGCTATATATGACAAGCTCACAGCTAACGTCATGCTCAATGGCGAAACACTGAGGACTTTTCCTCTACAATCAGGAATAAGACAAGGGTGTCCAATTCTGCCATTTCTATTCAATGTAATACTGGAAGTCTTAGCCAGAGCAATTAGACAAGAAGAAGAAATAAAAGGCATCAAAATCAGAAAGGAAGAAGTAAAATTGTCTTTGTTTGCAGATGACATGATCTTACATATAAAAACTCCTACAGACTCCACCAAAAAACTGTGAGAAGTAATAAACTAACTCAGTAAAGTTGCATAATAAAAAATCAATATACAAAAATCAGTTGTATTTCTAAACACTACCAACAAACTATTGGAAAGAGAAATTTAAAAAACAAAACAATCTCATTTACAATAAAGCCAAAAAGAATAAAATACTTAGGAATAAATTTAACCAAGGAGGTGAAAGACTCATACACTGAAAACTATAAGATATTGGTTTAAAAAATTGAGGAACACGCAAATAATAGATACCCCATGTTCATGACTTAGAAAAATTTGTATTGTTAACATGTTCATACTAACCAAAGCAATCTACAGATTTGATGCAATCCTTATCAAAATTCAATCGGCATTTTTCACAAAAATAGAAAAACAATCCTAACATTCATATGGAACCATGAAAAACCCCAAATAGCCAAAGCAATCCTGAGAAAGAAGAACAAAGCTGAAGGCATCACATTTCCTGATTTCAAGCTATCTTACAAAGCTATAGTAATCAAAGTAGTATAGTACCAGCATAAGGACAGACATAGACCAGTGAAACAGAATTCAAGCCCAGGTATAAACCTACACAAATGAAGTCAACTAATCCTTTACAAGGATGCCAAGAACACACAATATGGAAAGGATTGTCTCTTCAATGAATGATAATTGGAAAACCGGATATCCACATGCAAAAGAATGAAACTGGACTCCAATGTTACACCACTCACAAAAATTAACTGAAAATGGATTAAAGAGTGAAAAGTAGAACTAGAAACCATAAAATTCCTAGAAGAAAACAGGGGAAAAGCTCCTTGACTATGGTTTTGGCACTAATTTTTTGAATATGACACCAAAAGCACAGGCAATAAAAGCAAAATTAAACAAATGAGACTACATCAAACTAAAAAGTGTCTGCACAGCAAAGGAAACAACAAAACAAAAAGGCAACCTACGGAATGAGAGAAAATATTTGCAAATCATATATTTGATAAGGGGTTATATCCAAAATATATAAGGAACTTATACAACTCAATAGCAAAAAAAAAAAAAGGAAGTATAACCAGACTGAAAAATGGACAAAGTACTTGAATAGACATTTCTACAAAGAAGACTACAAATGGCCAATAAGTACATGAAAGATGTTTAACATCACTAATCATCAAGGAAATGCAAATCAAAACCACAGTGAGATATCACCTCACACCTGTTAGGATGGCTATTATCAAAAAGACAACAGATAACAAGTGCAGGCGAGGATATAAAAAAAAGAGAAAATTTCACCATTATTAATCAGAATGTAAACTGGTTCAGGCACTATGAAAAACACTATGGAGACTCCTCAAAAACATAAAAATAGAACTAGCATGAGATCCATCAGTTTCACTTCTGGGTATATATCCAAAAGAAACAAAATCAGGTTCTCAAAGAGATATCTGCACTCCCATGTTCATTGCATTGTTATTCATAGTAGCCAAGATATGGAAACAACCTGTGTCCATTGATGGATGAATGAATAAAGAAGATGTAGTATATATACCAAGGAATATTATTCTGCCTTAAAAAATAAGGAAATCCTACCATTTAAAGAACATGGATGAATCTAGAAGACATTAGCTAAGTGAAATTAGCCTGAAAGAAAAAGAAAAATACTGTGTGATCTCACTTATATGTGAAATCCAAAAAAAAGTCAAACTTATGGAAATAGAGGGTAGAATGGCGTTCATCATGGACTGGGGAATGGAGAAGATGGGGAGGTGTTTGTCAAAGGATACAAACCTTCAGTTATGAGATGAATAAGCTCTAGGTATCTAATGTATAGCCTGGTGACTATAGTAAATAATATTGTACTGTGTGCTTGAAATTTGCTAAAAAACTAGAACTTAAACATTCTCACACACACACAAAATAACTATGCGAAGGGAAGGATGTGTTAACTAACCTTAGTCTAATAACCTTTTCACAAAATGTATGTGTCAATTCACTACACTGTGCACTTCAACTATATACATTTTATTTGTCACTTATACCCCAATACAGCTAAAAAAATTTAAAGAAAATAAATTAGACAATTCCACTATCCATGCAGTAGAATGGCTCAAATTTTAAAAGACTGCCATCACCTTGCCAAGTATTAGCAAGGAAGAGGAACTATGGGACTCTCATACATTGCTAGTACAAATGGATGAAAATGATACAATGACTTTGGAGAAACCTTGACACTTTCTTATACAAACATATAATAATACATAGTCATTTCACTCCTAGGAATGTATCCAAGAGAAACGAAAATAAATATTAACATAAAAACATGAACTCAAGTGTTCACAGCTTTATTCATAATAGCCCCAAAGTGAAAACAACTCTGGTGTCCAACATCTGGTGAACAGATAAACATACTGTGATATATCTATGCAATCCGTATGATAGATAATCCTCAGTGATACGCAGGAAGAAACTACTGATACCTGAAACACTTGGATTAATCTCAAAGTGTCAGATTAAGTGAAAGAAAACAAACACAAAAGACTACATGCTATAAGATTGCATTTATATAAAATTCCAGAAAATTCAAAATTGCACTGAAAAAAACCACATCAGTGGTTGTCAGGGGCTGAGGTGGGAAGAGAGAGCATTTACTGCAAAACGGCACAAGGAAACTTTTTAAGATAACATACGTATTCTGAACCATTGTTGTAATGATGTTGGTGGCTGCATGACTGTATATACTTGTCAAAATTCAACAAATTATACACTTAAAATTGTCTATTGTGTGTAAATCGTATCTCAATAAAATGGATTTTTAAATATGTACATAGGGGCCAGCCCAGTGGCACAGCTGTTAAGTGCACACATTCTGCTTTGGGGCCCAGGGTTCATCGGTTCTGTCCTGGGTGCAGACATGGCACCACTTGGCAAGCCATGCTGTAGTAGGCATCTCACATATAAAGTAGAGGAAGATGGACATGGATGTTAACTCAGGGCCAGTCTTCCTCAGCAAAAAGAGAAGGATTGTCAGCAGTTAGCTCAGGGCTAATCTTCCTCAAAAAAAAAAAGTACATAGACATATTTCTATGTACGTAATCTCTGAAAAAGCAGTCTAAAGCTTATTTCAATACATTGTGAACATTTCAGAAAAAATATTTTTTACTTTTTCCAACTTTCTAGTTCCCCGAGGCTTTAAAGTTCTCTAAGTTTTTCTTTAACTAAATAAGATAAACACCCAAAAGAGTTTCCAAGGAGACCTTAACTTTGTAACTGTGACTAGTTATTTCAATTCTGACATTCTGTGATTGCAATAATAATAATTAACCTTTTTTCATGCCATGGTCCCAAGAGCCATTCCAAACCAAATCTCTAAAGGTGAACAAAAAAATCATTAAATGTCACAGCTCGTCCAATGGTAATCACTTTAATACAGATAAGATAACATTATTTTCTGTAGAAAGTGGATAAGTTGGATATATCTCAAATCAAGTCATAATATGCCTGACAAATGAACAGGAGTGACTTACCAATAAGATGCAAGTGTAGAGAGATATTTCAGTGAATGCAAATATAAATTTTTCTAATAATCAGGGCCATTAAAGAAGAATGAGATACCTCAAAAAATTGTTTGCTTAACGTTACTGGACAGCAATTTGGTGGAGACATTGCAGAATATTTTAGAACCAGCCTGACTCATAGGCCCTTTAAATTCCCTTCTAATCTGACATTCGAGGTTTCTAGGTGGATCTACAGAAGAAATAGAAATTCATTGAATAGACAGGAAAGTACATTCCTACAACTGAAAAAAAAAAATCTGAGTTTTGGGAAGCTTTCAGTCATTTTTGCCAAGATCGAGATTGGAAGGCAAAGGACCTGCTCTTAATTCACCTGCGTTTGACTTCCTGATTCATCACCAAACCTAACCATTCTGCCCCCCTTGGCAAATATGTGATCCAGAATACATATGACTTAAAACTCAGAGGAATATTCTGAGATTGAGACACACTAGTGTGTAAAAAGATTAAATAATAATGTAATACTTGAACTTGTTCTTAGTTTAAGTCAAGATTTAGACTTTTTCCGTGGGCATAAGAAAAAGAACTGAAAAATGTTATCATAGGTTATAAAAAGACAATTTTGCATTCAAAGGAAGAAGGAGAGAGTACTTAAGCAAAAATTGAGTAACCTTTGGTGTGTTTTTGACAAAGGGGTTAACTACCACATGGGAAGAGTCTCAAACCAAGACTGACAGAGATTTATGGGGCATTCAAAATTGAAGCAACAAAAGAATTTAAAGAATAGATGGAATGCAGTAGGAAAAAAATACCCAATGTCAAGATTCTCGACATATTTGAATGAAGAAAATGTCAACTGTTCCACAACCAGTATGATGTAAGTATACCCTATTATGCAATTATCCACATTTATATGTTAAACTGTATGTCTTGCTAAGTTTGTTTTCTTGTATATTTTATGATTAATATGAGATTACTGCTCTGCAGAAGTTTTAGCGATGGCAGATGTTGTGTAATAGCTTTCCTATAAGTATGTAAATGAAAGTTTTTAATGTTCTTTAATTACAATTTAACTTTTACACATTTTACTGATAGCAGCAAAAATCTCTAATTATTGCTAACCCCTACTCTCTGCCACATCTTAGGTATTTTCTGTTCATGCTTCCTCAACCCTGTGTTCTCGTTACCATATAAAACTTGGGTTCTCTTGCCCAATGTGCATAAACAAGCCAATTAATTATGGCATCAGCCTTTTGGGGGAGAAATTAGCTTTTATTCTGTGAGACTGATCTGCAAAGAGACAGGGGGCATGTGCCCTCAGAGCTGTTTCCCCAATTCAGGATGTGGGGCAAAATTTAAGAGGTAAAGAACAGATTGGCATGTGAAAATAATGGTGGGTCAGGCTTTGATTGGTGGGCTTTAAGCATCTATGGTAAGGTTTATACATTTATGACAGGGTTCTAAACATTTATGATGGGGTTCTAGACATTTATGATGGGGTTCTAAACATTTATGATGGGGTTCTAAACATTTTTGATGAGGTGGGGAAGGAATTTTAACACCAGATCTTCCTGAATGAGGGACCCCTCCCTTCTGATAAGGTTCCAACTTTCAAGTTCTAGTTGTGTGCTGGTCCTTGGGTTCTGTGGAGAGAAGGATCTTTAGGTCTAAGTCCATTTCAGGTCATGATTTCTTCTTTTACACATGCTCTAGCTTTGTGACTTTGCAGTTTTTCTGAAAGATAATCCTTAATCACTTTGTTGATAAGAGATGGGGTCTGTTCAAAGTGGCTCTAAATGGGCCCGTGGTTACATTCTCAACAAACGTTTACCGAACACCAAGTAGATATACATCACTGTGGTAGGCCCTATTGTAAGACCTTGAATCTGGCATTATGACTATCCTCATTTTACAGATGAAGAAGATAAGACTCAGGATCCTTAAGAGTATTATTAAAGATCTTGAAGCCACAAGTGGCCAAACAAGAAATACAACACAGGTTCCCTGATTCCAAAACTCACTATACTTTTTCTATTATTCTACATTTTTCTGACTAAATCTGGAATCTTGAAATGTGCAATTTTTTAATGATCCACAGAAATGGTAATGAGGAAAAATACCCGCCAAAAAAACGAAAGCCTTAATTTGAAAAGATTACAATTAAATTATTGTACACAGATTGTCATGGTCCAGAACCTTTCCTCCTAGACATGATGGGCTCCTGAGGGCCCAGGGATCATCTGGAAGATGCTAACACAGATCCAGGTGTTTTTTATCATCATGAAGTTAAGAGCCTCTCCAAAGGAAAGCAATGCTACTTCTGTAGTTCTTCTCAGAGAAGCATATTTGACCCAAGCATAGCAGAATAGAAAGCTCGCAATGCCATTTTTTCCATAGTTACATAACCCTGTGACAACCATGGCAAACAGCAATCTATTTGTCTTTAACCATCTCAGGTTTTTGTTGTTAAAAAACGGCATAATGCTTTTGAAGACCCCAAATTGTCTAACTTTTACAATACTAGAGGGGAATCAAGCTCCTATCAGGGCCATCAAACAGTGTGTAGGCAAGAAGGAAAATGGAGGATGTTATGCAGATTGTGAAACAATTAACAAGATAAATGGAAAGAACAATGGAATAGATGATAGGCAGCTGCGTGAGAATCCACATTATTCTGCCTTAAGATACCTATCAGCATTGTCAGTGATGAAAGTGGAGAGAGAGAAATGAAAGGGAATATTAAAGCATTTCTATTTTTCTACAGAGTGTGCTCTATTCTATTTTTATATTAGACCTTGTTAACATTAATATTTGTCCACCCAGATGTGGCTATGCTTTTTTCGTACAGTAGTAATCATTTTGGAAGTTTATTATCTGGGTTCAGGATGAGTGGTAGGGGGAGTGAGTATTAAATTATTTACGGTGAAAAGAATTCCTACTGGTACCAACACCTTATTTCAATAGATGAGACCCTTTGGAGACCTTTGATAACTTGAAAGAAGATTAAACAAACTGACATGTAACAATTTGGAAGATTATTAGAAGAAAAGTAATAAATCATCTTGCTATTGTAAATTGCTGTTTTTTAATCCCGGGCTTTCCCCTTCTTTTGACCCTTCCCACCTCTAAACCCTGAAAGATCTGATTTATTAGACACATTGGTGTTTGGATTCTTTCCTCATGCCCCGCATTAATATTGCAGCAATCAGTTATCCAGAACAACGTGTATCCCAAACTAACAACTAGAGAAAAGATGACACACCTCAGGAAGGTACAGGTTGTGATAAAAGTCTGTATTTGACATGTGAATATGCAAACTACCATTGCTTAGTCATGGGCAACTGGAATCTCATGTTTAAGGGAGGAGTTCCCTCAATTCTGATTTACTTACGGTAAATAAACGAGCACTGTTTGTGCTCACAGAATGGTGAGTTAAATATATAAGGTGACTTCCTTCATGGAAAACAAAAGAAATATTTAGACTGGAAAGGAATATGTAGATGATCAATACTCTTCTTTTATAGTTGTAAAAACTGGGGCCAGGGATTTAAGAAAAAGTAAAGAGAGCTCCTCTACTAAACTCAGCAGCAAGTCAGGTTATTCAGCTCCAATTACATTTGAAAATTACTCTTAGATGGGGGACCATTGTGCATTTGTAAATAAGTTTACTTACCAACAACCTAGAAATGTCAATAATTCTAAGAAACAAATATTTCCTTATCTAGAACAGAGAAGATGAAGACACAATCTTTGTTATTAAAATAATAAGGATAAATTGATTTGTGGGATAAATTAGTGTTGACTGAAAATGAAAAGGCAACTGCAGGGGCGTAAAAAGTCACAGCCAACTTTTCAGATGGAAATCTCATCGGGAAAAAAAAGTCTTCAAGGCAAAAAAAAGCTGCTAGAAGTTACTTATCCAGAGGGAGAGCCTGAAGAAAATGACCTCCTTTAAGGAGGAACTGGGTGGGCTCCAAGCCTAGCTCAGGGTTCATAATTTCATCATTTTAACTTAAAAATGAAGGATTAACCACCAAAAAAAATACACCGAAGGACAGTGCTTCCACTGAATTTTATAGACGTGCAATAGATTTTCAACTAACTTGAGTAGTATTCCAAGATTAAGCTAAGGATTTCAAACACCACCTATCTGCTTCTGACTTTTTCATTACTATTAATGACTTGACCTTCAAATGGCTGAAAGAATATAGGTGTAAGAGATCCATTTGAGAGTCTATAGGAATCAGTTGAGTAATGGGAGAAGAAAGGTTTGCTATTCTTCCAGATTCTGCCATAGACATAACATTGCAAGGAACAAAAAGGAAACACGACAATCATTTTCCCAAAAGCTTTTTTCAAAATATATAAAATAGTTTATGCAAATTTTGAACCATATATCATCAACGCACTTCTCTATAGCAGTGTAGATAACAAAAAAATTATATCATTATAGAAAATAAACCCAAAAAAATCATGCAAACTTATGGAAAGATCAATCACTGTTACCTTAAAATAATGTGTCCAACTAGATGTTACATTGATACTCGACACATAATACCAATAACAAAAGTGAGTAGAAACAAATACTGTTTCCCTTTCGTGTTAGTGTCCACTTTTCATAATTTTGCTCTATGATTTAGATGATACTTGAATATTTGAAATAATTTTGAGAAAATAACTCAGCTTTCATTATCATTCCGTTTCTCTATTTTCCAAATTGATTTATTGGATTCTCAGTTAAGTGTGTCTCTCTTCTTAGGCACAGAACTTAGCTGGGAAAATAGTAGATCAGGAAGAGTGAAAGAGAGAAAGGAAGGAGCATGGGGTAAAAGAGAATAAAATCACAAAGATTACAGTTCCATGGAACCATGAAGATAATTTCAGTCAACCGAAAATTTTAAATACAGTCTGAGAATACTGAGATTAGACGAAGTCATGTAATTTATGCAAGGTCCTACATTTATTAGGGTCAGAGACAGGGTGAAAACAAATCACTCTTGTCTCTTCATTCAAAGCTTTTCCTACTTGTTTTTATCACTGATATTGACAGTTGAAAACTTATAGGCTGATTTTCATCTCTATTTTTTCAGACACGTGCTGCCCACTAGACATTGCATGCAATGAATATGCAAAATCAGACCACAGTGACTGAATTTACCCTGACTGCCTTCCCAGTTCTCCAGAAGCTTCAGATTTCCCTCTTTGTGGTCCTCTTGTTTACTTACATGCTTACTCTAACAGGAAATATTGTCATCATTTCCCTAATATGGGCTGATAATCGCCTCCAAACCCCCATGTACTTCTTCCTCAGCAATTTGTCATTTTTGGACATTTTATACACTACCTCAGTTACCCCAAAACTGTTAGCCTGTCTCCTAGAGGAGAAGAAGACCATATCTTTTGCTGGCTGCATCACCCAAATATCCTTCTTTTTTTTCCTGGGGACAGTAGAGTTTATCCTCTTGGCAGTGATGTCCTTTGACCGCTACGTGGCCATCTGTAACCCCCTCCGCTACACCATCATCATGAACAGCAGGGTCTGTCTCCTGCTGGTTCTGGGCTGCTGGGTGGGGGCCTTCCTGTCAGTGATCTGCCCAGTTATTGTGGTGTCCAGATTGCCTTTCTGTTATAAGGAAATTAGTCACTTCTTCTGTGACCTCGCCCCTCTGCTTCACGTAGCCTGCATAGACACTCATTTCATTGAGATGATAAGCTTCCTCTTGTCTTCCTTCATCCTCCTGAGTTCACTGGTGTTCACTACCGTATCCTACACCTACATCGTTTCTACCATCTTGAGCATCCCTTCAGTCCAAGGACGTCAGAAGGCCTTTTCCACCTGTGCTTCTCACATCACTGTTGTCTCCATTGCCTATGGGAGCAACATCTTCATGTATGTGAGGCCCAGTCAGAGTCATTCCCTGGATTTTGACAAAGTAACGGCTGTACTCACCATAATGGTGACCCCTCTTCTGAACCCCTTCATTTATAGTCTCAGGAATGAAAAGGTAAAGGAAGTTTTGAGAGACGCAGTCAACAAAATTGTGTCCTTATTGCACAAGAGAACTTGAAAGTTTGTTTCTAAGAATGATTATTTTCCACTCTTGGATTCAATGTGGAGAAAGGCACGCTTGAAGATCAAAAATCAAAGATATGTAGGAAGATATGAAAGGCTTCATGCCACTTCAGACCTTTCTAGTCAAGGTCCAGAGGAGACAATTCAGCCATAGTAAAAACGACATGTTCTGAACTCTATTACTAGACTGTCTCACACAAAAAAAATATCATAGATAAATGAAAAATACTAAAGCCAGAAAACTTGAATTTTAATCCTGGCTCTATCACTTTCTTTCTTATCAGGTTACACTTAGCCTATCTGAATGCTAGTTTTCTCATTGGTAAAATGGGGAATATAGTTTGTGCTTTCTTTTTTTCTTTTTGTTTTTGTAGGCTTAACCAAGATAATCTAAGAAATGCAACCACATGTAATTAAGAGTGAACACATCTTACTGGGTCTTTTTAGTTGTTGCAAGATGACTGGCTTCATTCCTGACAGCTAAATATTGTGGATAAGAAGAATAAGGAGGAGGAGGAGGAGAGGAAGAAGTAAAAGGAGGAGAGGAAGAAAAAGAAGAAGAGGAAGGAAGAGGAGGAGAAGAAGAAGAAAAACAGGGAAGAGGAGTAACATATTCAGAGTTTGTACAATGTACTTAAATATTTACATATATATCTCACTTAATCCTCTTGACAAGCTTGATTAGCTGATGATATCTCCATTTTACAGATGAGAAAATGGAGATTCACAGAAGTTAAGCATCTTACCCCAAACTACACCACTGGTGAGTGGCAGAAATTTAGAATAGGTGAACTCTAGTCTATTTTAGCACCTCACTTTATCATGAAGTGTAGAATGGGAAAAAACTTAAGAGGGGAAACAGAAGTTAACCTGAAAGTTATCTACTTTTTCTGAAACCAGAAGTGTTCCATGCCTGCCCTAACATTCTGGAAGACCTGCAGATCAGGGCAGACTGGGATGCACTCAGAATAGACTGTGAGAGGCAATTGGTTTGAAAGGAAAACCAATTATTCAGAGGCCATAACTGACCATGAGTCTAGACTGATCATCTGTGGCAACTGGCCAATGTGACCATCACATACAGAAGAATAAGTATCCTAGGATTTATTTGGTTGGAGGAAAATAAAAGCAGAAAACTAATCAAGCTAGCTTATGTAAAATGAGTACTTATTATAATAATAATCAAGAGTGCTACATGGAATGCCAGAAAATAAGAAACAACAAGATCTTCAGAGGAACTAGAATCAAGAAGGAGAAATTCTTAAGGAATCAAGGCATGCACTGTCTTCCTTCTGAATCTCATCTCTCTCCAGCTCTCTCTAGGGTCATACAGTCTCTGCATTACTCTTTTTATCCATATATCTTGTGTTAGGCTGAATTATGACCCCCAAAGACATCCAGGTCCTAATCCCTGAAACCTATGAATGTAAGTAACATAATATGGGAAAGGGATTTTGCAGGTGTGATTAAGTTAAAGATCTTGGGATAGGAAGATTATCTTGGATTATCCAAGTGAGTCCTAATTGTAAACCCAAGTGTCATTATTTGAGAGAGGTAGAGGGAGATTTTACCATACAAAGGAAGATAATGTGATGATGGAAGCAGAGAAGGATTGAAGATGCTGTGCTGCTAGCTTTGAAAATAGAAGAAGGGGCCATAAGCCAAGGAATGCACCTCTAAAAGCTTGAAAAGGCAAGAAAATGGATTCTTTCTCCCCTAAAGCCTCTGGCACAGCCTGGTTGACACCTAGGGTTAGGCCCAGTGGAACTGATTTTGGATTTCTGGCCTCCAGAACTGTAATAGAATACATTAGTGTCATTTTAAACCATCAAGTTTGTGGTAATTTGTTATAACAGCCACAGCAAACTAATAGATACCTGATTCGTGTTTCTTTCTCTGCAGGTTATTTCTCTCCACTTCTCAGTGCACATGGAAGATAATGGCTGCTTCAATCAGTCACTATATATATATATATATATATGTATTCAATCATAGATATATATTCAATATTTAAATATACTGATATATATGAAATTTATATAGATATATATTTAAAATTATCTGAGTTCAAAATCCAAATTCCTGGAAGGAGGCTCTGATTTGTCCGACTGGAGTGAGATTCCTCTTCTGATTCACTTATTTGTAAGAGGAAAAGTTTGGCAAGGAGGTAAATTGCCCTCTGAGCAATAAAGCAAATAAAACAAAAAAAGGTAAACAGCTACTGAGCAGGTGCTGTAAAGAAAAGCACTCTAAAAAGAGAGCGTAGGAACAGAGAGAAGACAATAGGCATCTCTGAGATCAAAAAAATGTATTGTTAATGTGGTCAATGACCTTCTAGTTACATGGACAAAGATGGAGACCTTAAGAACAGGCATGGAATCTATTGTGGGAGAGCAGGTAGAGAAAGCGCTATCTTAAGAATAGATTCAGAATATTATATAAAGGCATAGTCCATCATAAGATAATGCAGTGGACAAATGTTTAAAGGTCAAAATAAGATAGAAGAATATCAGCAGGGATGAATCGGTCATGTAATTTTCCGCTCTGTACTCATCATCAGACACTAATTAAGGTGGAAAGTTACAAGTTCCCTATTCTACCATAGCAAATTTAGCATCTTAAAACAATATAAACTTATTATTTTATAGATCTTTAGGTCAGAAACCCAACACAGGTCTTAGCAGGCTAAAATCATCAGGCTGCTTTCCTTTTTAGAGACTCTAGGGGAAAATCCACTTCCTGCTCATTAGGGTTGTTGACAGAGTTCACTTCCTTGAAGTTGTATGACCAAGGTCCTATTTTATTGCTGGCTATCAGCCAAAGGCCGGTTCCAGTTTCTAGAAGGTGCTGCTGTCCTTGGCTCTTGGCCACCCTTCCTCCGCCTTCAAAGCTAACAACAGTGGGCAAGTCTCTCTGTGTTTCAAATCTCTCCTCCTTCTCCTTTCATCTCCTCTCTGACTCAACTGGAAAAAGTTCTTCCCTTTTAAGGAACACTCATTTGGTTGGATTGGGCCTGTCCAAATAATCTAGGATAATATCATCAACTTGGGTCAATATCCTGAATTACATCTGCAAAGTCCCTTTTGCCAAGTAAAGTAACATATTCACAGATTCTGGGAATTAGGATGTGGACATCTTTCAGTCCCATTGTTGTGCTTAACAAAGCTACATTGGTGGAGTTAATGATCCAAGAAAGTAAAAATAAAGAACAGGACACAGTAGGTTTTTTTTAAAGCCAATACTAAATCCTAAACTCTATCTTTCATCATTTGCAATTAGAAGAATTTGTAAGTCCTGGAATATGAAGGACTGATGAAAAGCAGCAAAATATTTGGGAAATATATATTTTAATTAGTTATTATTGTTTTCATTTAAATCCTTATTAGGTAAAGATGAATATAGCTGTCACTTTCTGCTGTTTTAATTTTTTAATGAATTCTCATGTTACTCAAAAGCCCCATTCTGGTATCATTAATACAGAAAAAAAATTCCTAAACAAATAACTTAAACATGATTTGGGTACTCAAGTAGGGGTGGCCCCAGGCTGAACCAGTCTTGAAACTGAAAATATAAAAAGACTTCATAAACTCTGAAAAATAATGTAAATATAAGGTTTTACTTTGAAATTGATTGTTATTATTATTCTGTTCAACATTGTCATAATAGCAGATCATAACGTTTGTTTCTACATTGATTCTAATTAATTGAGTTACTTGGAAAATGGGAACTACTTGTCACAAATTATGGGACACCTGGAAAATCCTTTACTTTTTACTTTTCCTGTACTCAACTATGACTAGATGTTTTAAACTACTGTTTTTCAATATGGGGGATGGAAAGGGGGAGCATTTCAAAATAGCGTGTAGAAATTTTGAACAATATACACTTGCTAGATAAGTTATATCCTTCCAACTATGGATGAAGGCTATCCCAACCAGGGAACCACTGTTTTATGTAATGAGTTCATTGATCCTTCCACTTACCAGCTAATTCTCACATATTCCTTCTTTCTCCTTCAGTTGTAATAAATTATTCAGTAGAAACAACTATAAACATACATCCCAATTGCATCACAAGCTCTCGAGGACTGCAACGAAATATACCAAATTATTTATTTATTTATTTATTTTTATTGAGATCATATTGGCTTATAACATTGTGTAAATTTCAGATGTATGTTATCATATTTCAGTTTTTGTATAGACTGCATTGTGTTCACCATTAATATGCTGGTTTCTACCTATTATCACACAAAGGTGCTCCTTTATCTGTTTCACTGTCTCCCCACCCCATTCCACTCTGCTAGCCACTAATGTGTTCTCTTTGTCCATGTGTTTGTTTATCTTCCATATGTAAGTGAAATCATATGGTGTTCATCTTTCTCTGTCTGGCTTATTTCACTTATTTCTCTTAGCATAATACCCTCAAAGTCCATCCGTGTTGTCACAAATGGCACAGTTTTGTCTTTTTTATGGCCAATTATTATTCCACTGTATGTATATGTACCACATCTTCTTTGTTCGTTCTTCTGCTGATGGGCACTTGGGTTGCTTCTACATCTTGGCTATTGTGAATAATGCTATGACTTTGAATTGTTGATTTCATGTTGTTCGGATAAATACCCAGTAGTGAGATAACTAGATTGTATGGTATTTATATTTTTAATTTTCTGAGAAATCTTCATACTGCTTTCCATAGTGGTTGCACCAGTTTGCATCCCCACCAGTAGTGTATGAAGGTTCCCTTTTCTCCATATCCTCTCCAACATTTGTTATTTCTTGGCTTGCTAATTACAGCCATTCTGATGAGTGTGAGGTGATATCTCATTGTAGTTTTGATTTGCATTTCTCTAATAACTAGTGATATTGAACTTCTTTTCATGTGCCTGCTGCCCATCTGTGTATCTTTTCTGGAAAAATGTTCATACTCTCTGCCCATTTTTTGATCAAGTTGTTCATTTTTTTGTTGTTGAATTGTATGAGTTCTTTATATATTTTGGAAATTAACTGCTTGTCAGACACTCGATTTGCCAATATTTTCTCCCAGTTGGTGGGTTGTCTTTTCGTTTTGTCCATGGTTTCCTTTGCCTGGCAGAAGCTCTTTAGTCTGATGTAGTCCTATTTGTTTATTTTTTCCTTTGTTTCCCTTCCATGACTAGACATGGTATTCAAATAGATGCTGCAAAGATTGATGTCAAAGAGGGCACTGCCTATATTTTCTTCTAGGAGTTTTATGGTTTCAGGTCTTACATTCAATTCTTCAACCCATTTTGAGTTAACTTTTGCTTATGGTATAAGATAACAGTCCACTTTCATTCTTTTACACATGGCTGTCCAGTTTTCCCAACACCATTTTTTAAAGAGACTTTCCTTTCTCCACTGTATATTCTTGGCTCATTTGTCAAAGATTAGCTGGCCATACATGTGTGGTTTTATTTCTGGGCTTTCAATTCTATTCCATTGATCTGTGTGTCTTTTTTTCCGTCATTTTGAGTGTGTCAAGAATTTAGGTAAGCTGCTCCATAGTATTCCTGCCATGACTTCCATTTTATTTGGCCAAGCAGTCTGCAGGGGCCTTAAACTGACACTAGTCCTTCAAACACGTGCTCTAGATAGCAACCTGCAGAATCAAATGTGAATTCCTGATATGACTTCCCCAACAGCCTTAGTACTCATGTTTCCCCCACTTCACAGCGCCTTCCTCTTATGCACCCCTTAGATAAGGCCTCCATGTAACTTAAAAAACCCTCAGTCTTTTTGTTTG